AACTGTGGGCTCTGGGACATGGGCCACTGGGATTTGGCTTCCTTTGAGGAGACGACGACGTAACTCTCCCAAATTCAAGCTGACGAGCATGGCGAATGCCAGCCTTCATGTCCACATTGCCGAATCATCGAGGTGTTTTCGAACCCGATTGTGAAACAGGTTGTTCGAAATTGCGCACCGTCTGATGATATTCGACCCGTCTCGCGTTTCGTGCCTGACCCTAAAGCCCAAGGCGCAGAACAGATCAAGACTACCTCTCGATCTGGGCCGTGTGGGCCTCAGTTTTGATCCGGCGTTGAATGTAGGGCAGGGTATGTCTTGTTGTTTAGTGTGTTTGTATTGTTTTCCCAAAGCGCCAAGAGGGAAACCACGGAAGAACTAGCGAAAGTGAAAAAGGAGCGAAAGAACGAAAGACATAAAGAAAGAACAACATATCTAGAAGAAGGAAAGACAGACTGCAGGTGAAGCTAGCGCAGAAGCAACGACAGACATAAAGAGATAAAAACGACAGACACAGAGACAGAGATGCACCCTATGAGAGTCTGATGAAACGTGTGTGCAGCTTTGTCCTCAGGGCCCTCACAGCGCTAGAGAGCCCAACAGGGTGGGGGCGCAGCTGGGTGGGCCACGAAAGATGTTGCGAACGACTCTCAAAAAAAGGCTTCATCTTGAGTGAAAGAAGTTCGCAAGAAATGCATATCGAAGCTGCGTCACGCAAGAGGCTACGTCAGGTCAGGATCTTGAAGCCCTCGATTTTCTTCTCCATGTCTGCAGTCTGACAAGGCATTCGAAAAAAACACTTACAAAGAATATGAGGCTCAAAGAGAGACAAGCAAAGAAGCAAAGACCGACATGAAGAACGAAAGAAAACACAACGACAGACAGAGAGACAGAGATGCCGACAGACAGGAACTAACACACAACAACGACAACGCCGCCAACATAACCACAACCGCCGCCGCCACAAACACATCATCGACATCATCCACTGCCGCCGTATCTTCCACCGCCACCGACCACCTCATCTTCTTTCTGTCGCCACCACCACAACCATCATCATCATCATCATCATCCTCATCCTCATCATCCTCATCCTCATCCTCATCCTCATCCTCATCCTCATCCTCATCCTCATCCTCATCCTCATCCTCATCCTCATCCTCATCCTCATCCTCATCCTCATCCTCGTCGATCATCCTCACCCTAATCCACATCCACCACCACCGCCACATCATCATCACCACCACCAGCATCATCGTCACCTACTACTACTGCTACTACTACTACTACTACTACTACTACTCCTGCTGCTGCTGCGGCGGCGAAATCCACTGCTTCACCCTTTGCCCCGGAATTAGTACGACCCCCAGTCCTCAGGAAGATGAGGACCGTGAGCGCGGCCGGCAGGCAGGGAAGCACAAGTCTTCCCTCGTTACTTGCCTGAGCCGTCGAACCCAGGATGCTGCGTCCCCACCTGATGTTTTCGGCGCGCTTGAGCTGTGTGTCTTGCCTTATCCTGTGTGCCCAAACCCTGTCAACCTTAAACTCCCTATAGGGCTCGGAGGGCGGAGGGGGAGGGTTTGGAGGACAAGGCTCCTGCTACTTACGGGAAGAGGAAGACAGGGTGCTTAAGGCAAACCCCCCTGGTGCCTGAGGCATTTAGCTTTCGAGTTAGGGTTGCGGGTTTAGGGTTTACAGGTTAGGATTTAGGCCCTTACACCTTAAGCCCTTAAACCCCCCAAAACCCTGCAAACCCTTGAAGCCTTGAACCCCTAATTAAGCCCCCTAAGCCCCTGAACTCTTAGACCGCGAAAAAAACCTCAAAACTTGAGCTTAGGCCCTCGTCTAAACGCCCTAAACCCTGAACCCTAAACCTTAAACCCTAAACCCTATAAACCCTTAACCTCATCAACCCTCAACCCTGTAAACCCTAGACCCTATAAACCCTATAACCCACGCACCCTCAAAGCCCTAGCTTATAAACCCTAACAGCCCTATAACACCTAAACCCTATGAACCCGGGATGCGGATCTGCAACATAAACGTTTTTACATAAACTTTTTTAGGAGTAAAACAAACTTTTCCAGGATTAAGCAAACTTTCTCTCTGAACCCGGGAAGGAAGAAGGCAGGACAGCGGAAGGGACAAGGGCCAAGGGAGGAAGGAGGCAGGATTGAAGGAAGGAAGGAAGGAAGGAGGAAGGAATTGGGGCGCGGCTGCGCCCGCGATTAGTCCCTACCACAACCAGACGGTC